AAAAGAAGGCATTTGTCACTGATCAGGGGTTGTTCTGTTATACGGTGATATCGTTTGGTTTGAAGAATGCGCCTGCTACTTTCCAACGAATGATTAATACGGTCTTCATTAATCAAATTAGAAGAAATGTAGAGGTGTACATTGATGACATGATAGTCAAATCCAAACAAGAGGCGAATCATCTTGCTGATCTCCGAGAAACATTCGCCACACTCAGGCGGCACAAGGTCATGCTAAACCCAAAAAAGTGTGTCTTTGGCGTTGAGTCTGGGAAGTTTCACGGATTTTTTATTGACCAAAGGGGAATAGAGGCCAACCCTGAGAAAATACAGGCGGTAATCGACATGCAGTCGCCCCGTAATGTGAAGGAAGTGCAAAGGTTAACAGGTAGCCTGGCGGCCTTGGGGAGATTCCTCAGTCGTTCAGGCGACAAGTGTCTTTACTTCTTCCAGGCAATCAAAAAGAAGACCAACTTTGAATGGGGGGATGATGCAGAGGCGGCCTTTTAAAAGCTGAAAACTCATCTGCACTCTTTGCCGAGGCTTGTTAGCCCGTTGCCCAAAGAGAAGCTCTTCATGTATTTAGCTGTCTCTGATCATGCCCTCAGTGCCGTTCTCTTAGCTGAAAGAGACGGCATCCAGCTCCTAGTGTATTTCATTAGCCATGTTCTGAGGAACGCAGAGCTTTGGTACCCCATGGTTGAAAAATGTGGCCTTGCCCTTTACATGGCCATCAAGAAGCTAAAACCCTACTTCTTGGCGCATGCGGTAGAGGTCTATACTGACCAACCGATCAAGCGGCCACTCACAACCTTGGAGTCTTCTGGACGAATGCTTAAATGGGCGATTGAAATGCAAGGATTAGAAATCACTTACGAGCCAAGAAAGGCAATAAAGGGGCAAGAATTCGCCGACTTTATTGTTGAAATGACAAGGCCGGTTGCACCGGACAATAATGACCAGGTTTGGAAAGTGTATGTGGATGGGAGCTCCACAGTGAACGGCTGTGGTGCAGGGATTATCTGTCAATCTCCTGAGGGAGATAAGTACGAATATACACTACGGTTCAAGTTCCAGGTCTCTAACAATGAGGCCGAGTATGAGGCCCTGCTAGCCGGCATTCGGTATTGCAAGGCGGTAGGGGCAAAGAAGATTGACGCCTGCTCTGATTCTCAACTAGTCGTATACCAGGTCAATGGAACGTACGAGGCCACTCATCCGGCCATGATAAATTATTTGCAGGCAGTCAAAAGTGAAGTTGGGACACTTGAGGAGTTCCATCTAACTCAGGTGCCCAGATCTTCAAACAATCAGGTGGATGCTCTGTTTCAAAACTAGCATCATCCGCCTCCTGGGAAACACCTCGGTCGGTTTTCTAGGAGGTCATGGAAAATAGAAGTATATCTAATGAAGACCCCATTGGAATTCTCGACCGAATCTCTACCTGGATGGACAGCATCCGGGCTTATCTTGCAGATGGCACACTCCCTGATTCACCCCAGAAGGCGGCTGTTCTGAAGAGAAAAGCGGCAAACTTCGAGCTGAGGCAAGGAGTACTCTTCAAAACAGGTTTTTTGAAACCCCTGTTGAAGTGTGTTACCCCAGAGAAGGGTAAAGAGGTCCTCGAAGATTTGCATGCGGGTTTCTGCGCCTCCCATATAGGCGGCAGGTCTCTAGCTGCCAAGGCCAGGTGGCTCTATTTCTGGCCTACTCTGGAGTCGGATGCCATGGAAATGGTAAAAAAATGTGACAAGTGCCAAAAGTTTGGCAAACTCATCCATCGTCCGACCACATACCTGACGGCCATCCACAGCCCAATACCTTTTACCAAATGGGGCATGGACATACTTGGGCCTTACACAACGGCACCAGGCGGCAAGCGCTACATATTGGTAGCTGTGGATTACTTTACCAAGTGAGTAAAGGCGGAGGCGGTCAAAAAATCAAGACAAAAGATGTCATTTCCTTCATCTGGAGGAATATTATCACTCGTTTTGGGGTGCTCATGTCTATGGTTTTTGACAATGGTCCTCAATTTGAGACACCTCAACTCAAGACTTGGCTAGGAGAACAAGGGGTCTCAAGCTTCTTTGCATCAGTCGGTCGGCCTCAAGAAAACAGCAAGGTCGAAGCCTTCAACAAGCTAATCTCAAACGGGATTAAAAAGAAAATTGAACGGGTTGGTGGTCTTTGGGCGGATGAATTACTACACGTCCTCTGATCCATCAGAACGACTGCTAAAGGGGCAACTAGAGAAACCCCGTTCCTCATGGTGTATGGTGCAGAAGCTGTCCTGCCCATTGAACACTATGAACCGACTCTTCGAGTCATGTTATATGACGAAGAAGTTAACTAGGAGGCCATGCGGTTGGCATTGGACTCACTTCCAGAGCGCAGGGGCAATGCTGCCTTACGCCATGAGATTTACCGTCTGAGAATGACTCGGGCTTACAACAAAAGAGTACACAAGCGTCCTCTCAAAGTGGGGGACTTTGTGCTACAGAAAATAGAGGCAGTCGGTAGGGCGAATGAGCAGAGAAAGCTGACCCCAAATTGGGAAGGCCCCTACAGAATATATGAGGAAGTAAGAGACGGCAGGAAGCTGCCTAGAACTTGAAATGTAGACAACTTGAAAAAGTACTATTTCTAAGTACGAATGTAAATACCTCAAATTTTGTCATTTCAAATTTTTCTAATGAGAATATGCCTTCATTTCCCAACTTGTCTTTTTTATTATTGTTGCCTGTACAAAATACAGGCGGCCAATATATTTAGTAAGCGTCTGCCCCAACAGCAGATGCCCCAATCTCTCTGAAGGAGCCGACTGCTTTAAAGCAGTCGTTCCTACGAAATTCTTTAAGTTTATGCTAACACTTAACGAATATTCGCTTAAATCTTTAAAAGGCTTAAGGCCAGGTAAAATCATTTTAAGGCCAATGGCCGGATAATAAAAAAAAACAAATAGAGGCCGAATGGTCACAGTCTACTCCAACATGAGTATGACCGTCTGCTCCAACATGAGTCAGATAACCGGCGACGTCCATTCGGGAAAATTCGTCGAGGAGAAGCACCTCCCATTTGGGTGGCACATTGCTCTACAAATATATCAAGCGGCCCTACCGAATGCTAAGGCAGCATTCGCAGTCGCTTGATTTAATCGAACGTGAAATCTAAAAGGCTAGAATTTTCTAACTATTCTAGCACAGTCGGAAAAGGGTCACTGTTTCATAAGTAGAGGCTATTGAGGCTTTAGGCCGGATACGCCTGTTTTTGCTTTGGGGAAAGACAGGCGGAAAATTTTTACTAATCTACAAGTCAAGTTAACTTATGAGGCCTTTGTCCAGATACGCCTGTTTTTGCCCAAACGCAGGACAGGCGGACGATTACTTGCGAAGAAAAACGAGCTAAAATACTTAGCAGATTAAAAAAGAGGCATGTAGGTCGGATGCGCCTGCTCTTTTCTCTAGGGGCAAGACAGGCGGGTCATTCTTCTTAAATAAATTTTTTTAGCAAAGTCAAGAATTTTGTATTTCGTTTGTGCCAGTGGCCAAATGAAAACAATTATTCATTAGCTCCGGATGGTCGTCTGTCGTGTGGTTTTGGAAAATCACCATAGTGATTGATTGACTTAGAAACCATGCATACCCTTCTAAGTATCAATAGTTTCTAAGTCAATCAATCCATTCAACCGAAACCACTCGACATCCGTCCAGGGGCAAGAACATTCGCATGGTATAAAAGTTACAATACTTAGCCAAAAAACATGCAATGAAAAAAATTATATAAAAAAAAAAAAAAAAAAAAAAAAAACCGACAATATGAATAACTTCAGCCAAACGGCCGAATGATTTCAAATTAAAAAGCCCAATCGCCACCAGACGACTGGGTAAGATTGTATGCTGGCAAAGCCAGAGAAGAAATTGTTAATTTACCCGACCCCACAGTCGGTAAAGATACACAAATACTCGGCACGCAGGCCGAAAGATGAAATAATGGCCATTCGGCCACAGAAAGAACTTATAAAAAGCTTAAGGGGCAGGGGAGTTATCAACATTGGCAGCCGCATTTTCACCTGCCGACTGCTCCGCATTTTCCTCGTCCCCAGAAGAGCCTGATGAGGAGTCGGCCTCTTCGCCATCAGCATCAGCCTTGTTCGCCTCCTCTTCAGCCTGGCGAAGGAGTTCAACATTGAAATCCTCGTTTGCTTGATCAAACTTGGATTTCCAAATGCCAAAATTAGCACTCGGCTGTACCGCCTCCCATGCCATCCGCATGATGGCGTCATAGTCTTCCATCATTTGTTTGACAAGGGCCTCCTTCTCCTCCTCAGCTCGGGACTGGAACTTGGCCTTTAGCTGCTGCTCCTGGTTCATCAGGCGCCCCTCCAGGCGGCTAACCCACTCCTTGGCCCTCTCAGCCTCTTTCTTGGTCTTTCTTGGCCTCTTGAAGAGGCTCAAGCTTTTCCTTAAGACCTTTAATTTCGGCCTTAAGGTCAATGATTTTAGAGCGAGCCGAATCTAAGTCTTTCTTCACCTGCAGGTTAGCGTCCGCCAGGGAATACATCATATCAAGGGTTAGAAGCTCATACTAAGAAATTTCAAATTGAACTCGGTCTAAGGCGGACTCGGCTCGAGATTTAGCGGTTGTTACCTCTTTAGACTTCTTCTGGATTTGCCTTCTCAGCCCCTGGATGCGCAGCATAGCCTGAAAATGAGAAAAAAGCCGAATGGTCAAGACTAGTCCCATATATGCTTAAATACTAAGAAAATTAAGCTAACTTTTTACCTCATAGGGGTTCCCCAAGATGGCATCCAAGTTGAGGGTGCCGACTCCACTTACGGACGCCTTGTCCTCTGGGTCAAGCGCCCTCAACATGTCCTTGGCCATCTGGACGACAGTCGGCCTTTGCACAGGAGCTGCAAAATTAAGAGTTAGTCAAAGAAGCTCTATGAAACTATCTTGACATAGAAATTCAGTAAAGGCGCGGTTTATACCGTCTGGCTAATCCTCCTCCTCCTCCTTCCCATGACGCCTCTTCTCTCGTGTTGAGCCGACAGCAGTGTTGGGTTGCTTAAAGCCACCCTTCGATGCCTGAGAAGCATCCGGTTTGCTGACCTCCCTGTCAGCTTCGAGAGTAGAGCCGTCCCCTCTCTTGGGCTTGTGAGCAATGTGCTTCCGGTTCTTGCCGGATGCACTCACATCACCAGCCCCAGTTTTTTGAATCTTGGGTTGGGATTTCTTGGAGGGAGAGGGCCTGGTGGAACCACTCTGCATGAGAAAAAAGAAAGGCGTCAGAAAAACAGGCGGGAAAAATTTAACCTTTGTTGAAAAATATAACAAGTGTCATAAATAGCTACCTTGGGAGTCCCGGCTGTTTTCTGCTAGTCATTCGCCCGATTAAGGACGTTTGAGCGATATTTTGCTGCACAAACGGCAACCGGCTTCCTTGTTTCCGAGAGCTTTTCCATAGCTTTGTCTGCACCAAAAGCAGGAGTTAGACTTTGTAAACATACATTGAAAAACAATTTAAAGGTTGCAAAAAATCAGACTGCCGACTACCTCTCGGCATCTCAGAGCTTAGCCCACAAGCGGACAAGAACACCCCATCTTCCAGCCACTTGTAAAGGGGAATGTAGCTCTGGGGGACGACTATTTTCTCCCCCTGCTCATTTTTCCGAACGGACACTTTGAACAAACCCCGGCCAAAAATTTCCTCCTGGGCCCGCCTAGGGAGAGGGGACAAGGAGCTCTTGCCGGCCAGGAGGAGCAGATCCTTGTTCCACCTATTGTATTTTTGGTTCAGTCGACTATCAGAGGAATGGACTATGTAGAACTTTGTTCTCCAGTCCTTCCACTTGTTCTCCTTGCCGACTGCCATCATGTACCACTTGCAGGTGGACAAGGTGTACAAGCCTTCGCCGCCCTTGGCAGGCGCTCGGCTGAGTAATGCATGTGGGCGAATGCCTCAAAGCTGGGATCCACCTCCATCATTTCACATGCGGCAACGTACCCGATGATATTGATCCATGAATTCAGGACAAGTTGTCAGATACCCAGTTGGTATCCATCCAGTATTCTCTCCACGACCGGATGGAGAGGGAAGCGTAGACTAGCCTGAAGGACCGCCTCGTAGCAGCCCAAGGCTTGGTCCTCATAACTGGCTAGGGTCGGCTAGGTTATCGTGTCATCCTTGTTGGGAACGGACAAGAAAAAGCCATGACCCATGTCATAGAGGTCCGCTTGCTTTGCAGAACATGGTGATAGTAGGGGGCGCGTTCCAAGCGCCTAGAAGCACTCGGCTCCGCCCAACCTTCCCCCTTTTCCACTGACAAGGATTCCCTTACAGTGCTTACTTTTGTTCGGGCCTCCTCTGAGGTAACGGAGGCATTATCAGAAGATGACAAGGCCGAATCGTCATCAGAACTCTCCCCAGAGCTAGGGGACTGCCGGCTAGGGCCAGCAGGGTCCTCCCCTAGACTCTCCTCCGACGCCTGTTCTGAAGGCTCGGCCTGGTACTGACTGTCGGTTTCCCGCAGTATAGTATCACTAGGGGTGTCGCTTGAAGAAGGGGAGGAGTAATAAGTTGGAGTTAGGGGAAGGTCAGAAGAAGGGTTTGGGGGGTGCTCAGAAATTTCGCTAGCAGGCACCCTAATGGAGCCTTTAGAGTTGGGAGTCTCACTGTCCGAATGGTAAAAGGAACCATTCGGCCTAATCTCCTTGTTGTTTTCTTTGTTCGAGCCATCGTGTCCTGCAGATGCATATACACTGTCAGATTTGGAGATGTACTTAAAGGAAAGTTCTCGATCGAGCATTCGGCACTCCTAGTTCTAGATTCAGCCGTCCCCGGTGACCGGCTGATCACTAACCTAGGTCGTGCCGTGTACGTTTGGGAAACCACTTGATAAATGAAAAATGCAAGAAAGAATAAAAGAAAAGAGCAGGCGGTTACCTTAGAAGAAGGTATTACGAGACGCCTGGTTGGCTGAAGCAGACGGACAGAAAGCCGAGTGTCGGATGCTTGACAAAGTTTAGGTCTTTGAGAGTCTTTGAAAGTCAAAAGTCCAGATATTCTCCAAGATTCGCAAAGGTGTGAAAACAAAAATGGAGTCAAACCCTCCTATTTATAGAAAGGGGAAACCCTAATTTTCCCCCCAAAATGCAATTTGAAAATCCGTCTAGACGGATGATGACGCCTGTCACAGGTTCCATGTGCAATGCACGTGACCCCTGTGAGGGGCAAATGATTTGGGTATTTTTACCCGGCCTGGTGGCCCAGTCAGAAACTGCCATGTGTCATTAGTAAAGGTGCCATCTGGACCTATGAGATGATGACACGTGGTGGGCGAACATCCTTTTGTCCCAAAAAGATTGACGATCCAGCATGGACCATTCAGAGGGCGACACGTGTCACCCTAAAAGATGTCAGTGACACGTGTCACTCAGACATTGCCTCTGGAATGGCGGCCTTCAAGGGCCCAAACCTTGAGGCGTTGTTTTGCGGCGTGACCTAATCCCTAGGTCATCAGATCCTAGGGAGGGCACACTTTCCAAAAGGACCCTATAAATAGGGACAGTTCATACATTTATGACAAGAAACGGATACACGTAATACGAGACAACACGTCACTTTCACATTTATTACAGAGCTGTCGTTTTCAAGGAACATAAAACACTTTACTTGAGCTTGGAATCCGAGCAGATAACTTTATTTCCGCACGTTTTACTACTGAATACTTACTAACTTTGCTGAATCCAGTCTCAGTGTTGTAACTCTCCCAAGGGACAAAAACCCCCGAAACAGGTTTAATCTCGGTTGAACCTCATTCATGCTTGTTTATTTGATAAATGCAACGAACTTGAACAAATTTTGAAACTCGTTTAATAAATGACCTTGAACACGAACATAGGTATGCTCGTTCAAATAAGTTCACTAACGACTCATTTATTTATGTTTGTGAACTACTCGCCTAATTATATTCATGAATTATTGATTTATATACAATTGTTAATTATATTTATGTTTCTGTATTACTCGTCTAATTATTTTGCTATATTTTGAGATTTTCAAATTTCAAAGAACAAATCTCGTTTATTAGAAAAGCTCGTTTATTACTAAACTCATTCATAAAACGCTTATTTATAAACTCGTTTAATAAACAAGCCATTCACGAATCGTCCGCGAACATATAGTGTACTAAATGAATCGACCTTGAACAGATTTTTAAGCTTGTTTGAAAGCTCGGGATCGTGCTTGGACTCGTCTAAGTAAAATGAACTTGAACATGAACAAGGTAGTACTCCGCTCGGCTCGGCTCATTTACACCCCTAAATGTAGATAACAATTAGCGAATTCATACAAGTTAATTGTTGTAGATCTTTCAGAAGATGAATTCTCTTTAACTATAGTAATTGAAAACATTTGAGAAGAAATAGTGGGTATTAGGGGTGTCCCGTTTGGTTTTCAGTTTAGATTAAGGCCAAATTCAATCCGTTCCGAAATATAATTAGGTTTTCCATTTTTCAATCCGACCCGATCGGAATTACTTTTTCAATCCAATCAGAATTAAAATTCAGTTATTTGGATCCGATATGAAAATCCGAATTAAAATACGTTAATTTATCTTCTTTAATAAATAGACTAATACGATAATATAAATCAAAAATGCAATTATAAAAATAATATTTTGTCTAATACAGTTCATAAAAATAATATTTAGTTCAGTTCCTAATTTCCTTCTCTTATAAAATATTCATTCGAGTTCAGTGCAGCTCTAATAAGTTAAGTTAAGTTCAGCTAATTTCAATCAATGAGAACATGCCCTTAGTGTAATATATAAAACCATTGGAACTTATTTTACCTAATTAGAATTTATTGTAACTTACTAGACCTTATTTTACCTATTGAAACTTAGGGTCCAAATTGTTCACCTTATTCTAAGTTATATAAGGTGTATTAATTATTAAGGGGGTGTTCTATTCACTTCTTTTCCGCTGATAAGAAATTATCTGCACTTGTTACACTTTATTAAATTTTATTTTAGTTTTTATTTGACGTTGGGTTCTCTTATCAAAACTTATTAAACATGAAATGAACTTATTTAAACTAAGGGTGTGTTCTATGCACCTAATTTTGATTTTTCTGCACTTATTAGACCATATTCAAAATTATTTTAGTTGTAATTTGTACTTGGTGTAGGGAATAATTTCAAGCGTTAACCCCTAGCTTGAACCCCACTGTGATCATACACTAAAGTACGGTGGCGTCCAAAAGGGAAGAAGATAGAGCAAAAGAGTCGCCAACAAGTTTTTAGGAACTTGTAAACCGTTCACAGGGTGAAGGTTACACCCCTTAACGATCCAAGAGATCGTCAACTCCATAAGGTCTAGAACCAAATAAGGGTTCGGGGATGAAGGTACAAATCCAACCTAAAAGAGATTGAACCTGCCCTAATAATAGGCCTCTACTTTATTCTAATTGTATTCATGTACGCTTTTTTACTAACATGCAATCAATAGGATTAACCCTAAACCTGTTTATCTACGTTGGTTGAATATAATGCACAAATAAATCTATTATTGGCGATCACTTGAAATTATAATCAAATTAACCCTAAAAAAGATTATTAATTATCTTATCAAGCGTGATTACAAGTACCGATTCCCTTTAAACATGCATAAAGGCGTGATCAAGAAATAAATAAATATCAGGAAACATAATAAATAATCAATATCATGAAAATAAAAATATAATCATCATCAAGATAATAATAATCATAAAAATAATAATCATAATTATAAAAATCATACTTGTAATAATCATCATTATAATCATAATCAAAACAATTATAAATTATGTTAAAGCATAATAAAAATAGCAAGATCCTAGGCATGATACTAACAAGATTAATAACAAACCCTAGCATGTCACTAAGCAATAAAAATCATATATTTAACCCTAACATGATACTAATAATCATAAATATTAGGAAGAACATAAAAGGCATCATACTTGATATTAAAGTTACCCTAGACATGATACTAGGAATCTTTGAACATCCTAACATGATACTAGGAATCAAAATAACAATCTAAACATGATTTCTATATCATAATATCAATAAATCAATTAAAGCACTTACTTGGATGCTTCGTATCTCTTTCTAATAACAAAATACACGCGTTAGTAACTTCAAGGAAAATAATAATTAAAACAATTAAATTAAATAATTGAAATATATATTTGGGACCAAACCCTCAGAAATTAAAACCTTTCACGTCTAGGGCGAAGGCAACTTCGAACAATGCTAGGTGTTTCTAGATCTTGTGAATGCGGAATTGTGTATGTAAAAGACAAAGTTTAGGAGAGAGAGAGAGAGAGTAATCAAGAAAATCTTGATGAGAGTTGGTGAATGATTAAGAGAGATTTAGAGAATTAATGATTGCGAATGAAAACTGATTGTAGGTGAGAATTCGTGAGAATTGGTGAATGAAAACGGAGTTTTTAATACGTTATTTATAAAGAAATCAGCCAAAAAGATAAAATATCAAAACAAAGCACTTGGCGCACGCAAAACGAGATTGGCGCACGCAAAACAGTGCTGGCGCCAGCACCAGCTTATTGGCGCCAGGCGCTAATGGCTAGCACCAGGCGCCTGGAGTCAGGCGCCAGGACTATTTTTGACGTGTTTTTGAAAATCAGATAAGTTTGTCGTACTGGAGGATAAAATTGTATCTTTTCCCCGAAAATGCTTTTTGATTTTAATTAAAACTCTGAAAAGTCAACAAAAGTCAATTTATCATTGCTAATTGAATTAGAAATGAAAAGAACCTTCTAGAAGAATCTAGAAGACTAAAACCATTCCTAATTGCATTAGGAATGATAAATCATATTAGGCCCTCCCCAATATCATTAGGCCGCATATAAGGCTCAAACCGGGCCCAGTTTGGTAAATTGGCATAACTTCCTCAATATTCATCGGAATTGGGCTTATAATATATCGTTGGAAAGCTCTTGTCAAGTCCCATCCAACTACACTACTATTGGATCCATATCATGGACCAACCAAACTGGATTGGTTTTTTTCTTAAAATAAGTTTTCAAAAACAGAGAGAAGAGAAAAGAAATTAAAACTTTCCGCAACACTAGACTTTCCACACTTTCGCTTCATTCGATTATGATTTGACGTGAAAGGTACTCATCACTGGGTTTGGTTTTTGGGGAGACACAAATGGGTGTCTACAGAAGCTCCCACTTTGACTGAGTTTGGAGAAACGCGAGTTTCGAAAACAAAAGTCAAAGTATCGATAGGGACGGAGAATGATTCAGAACATTCTGCGATCCTAAACCAATCTTGTAACGCCAATAATTACAAGCTAACGTTAGTTAAACAGATAAAAGAGTTAAGAAACGCGTATCTTGCACCGTCGAGCACACGTCTCTGAAAGTAGTCGATTTGCTGCCGCTTTACTGTTTTGATGACCTCCTGCAAGCTAGAGAATGCCATCCCGCTTGAAAACTGCTACGCCCGTAACTGCTTCCAAATTAGAAGATTGCTTTGCCTGAAACGATCCTCCTCCGCTATGATAATATTCCACGTCCAAGGGAATACTATCGAAGATTGCTTCTCTTGAAACAATTCTCATCCGCATTGATAATATTCCACGTCCAAGGGAATACTATCGAAGATTGCTTCTCTTGAAACAATCCTCAGTTGTTTGTGACAACTCTCCATAATCCAGGAAACGCCACCTTGCTGTTTCGATGTTCACTCGTCTCTGAACAAAGAGCTTCTTTTTTATATGTTCACGCGTCTAAAGAGCTTCTTTATTATATTCTTTTTTTAATATGAACTTCTAAATGATGTGTCCACGCGTCTTTGAACGAAGAGCTTAATAATAGGATGCCTACGCGTCTCTGAGCAAAAGAGCTTGTAAGAAATGTCCACGCGTCTCTGAACAAAAGAGCTTGAAAAGGATTGTCCACGCGTCTCTGAACAAAAGAGCTTGATTGATATGTCCATGCGTCTCTGAACGAAGAGCTTGATAATAGGATTCCCACCGTCTCTGAGCAAAAGAGCTTGTATGAAATGTCCACGCGTCTCTGAACAAAAGAGCTTGAAAAGGATTGTCCACGCGTCTCTGAACAAAAGAGCTTGATTGATATGCCCACACATCTCTGGAGTAAAAGAGCTTTTGAATGATATGCCCACGCATCTCTGGAGCAAAAGAGCTTGATGGAAATGTTCACGCGTCTCTGAACAATAGAGCTTCGGTACTTGAACGTTTGTTGCGATAATGTCTTGAAGAAAATTTTTTTGAAGACCAACGTTTGTCGATCTCTAAAGCTCGTATAAAATTTATTTCTGCTAAAACCAGTATGTCGGTGTTTCCGTGATGAGGCTATTCTTAGGCGCTTTAAAATAAGTGAGACGATCTTTCATCAAGTCGACCACTTATTGTGATTGTAATCAAACTCACTACTTAATCATGTCAAATTGCTTGGAGGGGCTTACTGGCGTACCAAGGAACCTGAAATTGTTGTATAAGGTCTAAATCACCTTTCTGAGAGGCTTTGATCTCTGTCGCTGCTGAAATATCTCTGGCGCCAAGAATTGACTCTGTCGCCAAACGTTGTGATAGGGTCCTCCCTATTCTGCTGCACCTGTATTTATTGTTGACTATAGAACTTTTCCAATCTCTTTAATTATCTTAGGGTTGACCTAAGGTTTAATGTCGCTTGACTTATTGACTTGACACGACTCAAGGTATAAACTTGACTCGATGTGATCGACTGGCTCGAGGTTGACTCGACTCGAAGTGTTTGACACATGCGTTAGACTCAAATCAAAGTGATATGAGACGACATGACTCAATGTGTACATGACTCGTGTGTGCATTGTAATGTGATCGTGCGACTCGAAAAAAGCACAAATTTTCCGTCATTTTTGTGGAGGGTACCGACTTTCTCCCGAAAAAGAAAGACACGAAAAAGAAAGAAGTTTTTGAAGGTGCGTGTTGAATGAGCTTAGTCAAATGTTGTTTGATACTATCTCTCAAGGTGCAAGGATTAATCCATCCTAGGCTATCTCAACTGTTAACTCAATGATGAAAGAATTTGGGTAACTTAGGCACGGAGGCTAAGCACTTCATACTTCGTGATGCAATGACCATTATGGTTGATGAGTGATGTGACAAGGCATGCTTCAGCGTTGTGTTAAGATTTTATGACATAGGGTTCCTAAGGGAAGTATATTTGTTCATGTATCTGTGCAGTGTGTGAAAGTGACACTAAAGCTAAGCCACAAGAGCTAAGTGTGTGGAAAGAAAAAATAGAAAAGAGTCAAATGGTGATGACTCTTAGGCTAGGTAAGCTAATGATGTAAGGATCAAGCCCCCAAGTCTAGCTCTAAGTGGAGCATAAGATATCCCTTGATATGATCATGTTGTAAGTGTGTGAATTTAAATATGAATGCATGTTTATTACGGTCGCACCTCGATGTGAGGTTGCCTACGTATCCGTTAGGAATCAGGCCGAACGTAGCTCTAGCCGAACCTCGCACGAGTGTGTATACCTCAAAAAGGTCTTTTTAAGGGTTGTAACGTGGTTAGGCTAAAGGTTATAGAAGAAGGGGATAAAGGCTTAAGACCCTAGATAAGCCCCCAGGGTGTGCAACCTCACTTTTGAATCTTTATATTTTTATGCTTGAGTTTCTACTCTTTTTTAGCTCTCTTTTATCTATTGCTTTAGCATTTATTTTATTTTTATAAGTGTGGGCAATCCCGATCATGCGGTCTATCACTCACTTGGCATTCATGTTTCTCAGGCACGGTACCGAGCACTCGATAAGAGACGCAATCTGAGACGTGTTCATATCAAAGATATTTTCATATCAAAAACATTTGAACACTTGCCCTTTTGTACACTTTTAATTATTTTTTTGCTATTATTTATTTTTTGCTATTTTAATCTTTTTGAAGTCACTCAAGCCTTTTTAAAATTGCATAAGTTACACACTATCCCATCCCAAGGTTAGGTAGATGTAGGTTGAAAAAATGAAGGTGAAAGAGATATGATGTGGCTACAAGGGGTGCCTTGCCTTAAATCATTGGTATACCTTGTGCTTAATTCGACATAGTTTTTTTTTTTAATGCAATGAAATGATCATATATAAGGAAATAAATGCTCATTTTATTTAAGGAAAAGAAATAGAGAATCTACAAAAGTAATCTAAGGGAAAAGAAAGGTCTCTATGCTAGACTTACACTAGTAGAAAAAGGCTCATTTGCGTCGCTCATTTATAGTGTATTTGCGTCGCTTCTATGAGCGACGCAACTGCTCGCGACACAAATGACTTTTAAGTCATTTGCGTCGCTCCTAGGCGCGACGCAAATAAGAGTCATTTGTGTCGCTCCTTTATAAAGGAGCGACGCAAATGAATTTTTTGATAAACTTATTTTTTGTCATTTGCGTCGCTCCTTTATAAATAAGCGACGCAAATGACTCTTCTGACAAACTTATTTTTTGTTATTTGTGTCACTCTTTTATAAAGGAGCAACGCAAATAACTCTTCAGATAAACTTATTTTTTGTTATTTGCGTCACTCCTTTATAAAAGAGCGACGCAAATGACTTTTCTGATAAACTTATTTTTAGTCATTTGCGTCGCCCCTTTATAAACAAGCGACGCAAATGACTCTTCAGATAAACTTTTTTTGTTATTTGCGTCGCTCCTTTATAAACAAGCGACGCAAATAACAAAAAATAAATAAACTTATTTTTTGTTATTTGCGTCACTTGTTTATATAGGAGTGACGCAAATGACTGAGTAGACAATACAAAACTGTTGTATTTGCGTCACTTGTTTGTTTAATGAGTGACGCAAATGAGGTGAATTTTTTTTTTTAATTATAATATAATAATTGCCTTGTATATGTTTGTAGTACTTGTTTTCCTAGGTATAAAGTAATATGCTAACGCTAATATAATTGAAATAAAAATGCAATATTATTGAATAATGCAAATGTAAATTTCGGCAGAGTCTCCTCTGTAATTTGGCCTACCCATAAAATTTCCAAACCATGTTTCTTAACCAAATCAACGTATAATACAACTCCAACTTCTATACTTAAACTTAAAGGTAGAAGTACCTCAACAGCTCAACCTAGAGTTCAAAACGTGGTAACTACTAATTACTGACTATAGTATACAATTTCGCCCAAGCGAGCAAGAGGCATATGGCAGCTTGCCTATTGTGACCAAAAGTGAGACAGAGCCCTTCCATTTTTGCAGGCCGCAACACACTCAAGCACATATTCTCTGAGCTTCTTCTGGACTTCTTCCATTGGCAAGCAGGCATCAACCATCTGTTATCATTCAGCATCGTATGAAAATCTAGATGGCATTATTACGGAATTTGATGAAACAGCAACTATCTCACAGAATCTAGTTAAAAAACATAATTTACAAAAATATAAAGAACATTGCAAGAAACTGGAACATGTTTAAGTAAAATAAAATTAGTATAACCTGCACTACATAATATTGCAGGCATCACTATAATGTCACTATGCAAGATAAAGTCACCACTGTCAAACCTATTAACCTTACAGCCTTACCAAAATTGTACAGTCTGATGCAAGCTATGAAAAAACTAAGATTTGGTTTAACAGCCATGTCTCAGATCATACCAAATAAATTAACCAATAAATAACAACATAGAAAGGAATTAGATTCAGCTAAACATAACATCAAACACATGGTATGCAACTCACAAATTATGTATAAAAAAACAATCATAAAAAGAAAAAAGAAACAACCTTTTCTCCCAACGATTAGCACTGAACAAAAGATGAATAGTATTATCATCCAAATTAGATTGATTGGAAAGATAAGCAGAGATCATCTGCCCAACAGCAGTATTTCGATCCGGAAACCGCCATAACTCAGCAGAACACCCAATACTTTGCAAGTGAGAGAGAAACTGAATACACTAAGAGCTCTTTCCACTTCGATCTAACCCTTCTAATACAACCAAAGCACCTCTTGATTGTAAATTGGGGTTTAGGGCAGAAACTTCAATTTTCTTGGAAGAATCATTCTCCATTTTTTAGCAAAAATTGAACAATTTAACTGAAATTTAACATCCTGGTTTCTCCTCTGTGCTCCTGCAAAGTGCACCCAGGAAACAACTCAGATCAATATTTTGGTAATTGTTCAAAGGAAGATAACTGAGCATAAATTATACATCATTAGTAGTTATTACTTGTGAACTTCACTGTCATGTCTTTTCCTTGTCATCTTCCATGTAAACGGACTATTAGGATCCACACCATGCTGTGAAATTTCCAAACCATGTTTCTTAACCAAATCAACGTATCTGAAAATTCAATAAAAAAAATGACAAAAGTTCTGTACTGAATAGCTCAAGACATTAGAGGATATGATGCAGAAAGAGTGCTAACTTTTCAGAATCAAAATTATCCACTCCCAAATCTTTGTCCCAGATAAATATGTAATCATATGGTGCCACAATGTCAGGATGTAGAAATCGTTTTGCATACCACCTTTAACCATACAATGAAAGAACGGATCAGTATGATAAAATTGATAATTAATCTGACCCAATTGCCTTAAAAACTAGAGTACTAACCATTTCTCACTAGTTTGCAAAATTACCAAGTAGAGACACAATTATGAATCATGTAAGAATAGCCAAAGTTAGCAAATAAAGCTTACTCAGCACACTCATTAATCTTCCCCGAATTCTGGCTTTCCACAATATTCAGAATCAAAGACTTGTTTTCATCCAAGTACTGCCAAGATTTAAACCAACCAAAATTTAGAAATCAATAAGAAAAAAATATTTCCAGATGAGAACTAACCAAGCAGTATATATAGATGAAGCGGCTAATAGACTAGAATCATAAGTGAATTAATGTAACAAAGGATGAATATGTCATGCATAACCAAAGTGTATTACAATACATATCAATTTTTACTTAAGCTTAAGGATCAAATGATCTGCAATTAGCAATGTTTTAGAATCTACCCCGGTAGCCCTAGACTAAGATAAAAAGCAATGCATACAACACCATTCCCTTATATAATTTCATATGTATTAATTGATTTATCAATGATCATTTGATTCACAATAACTTCCTTTTATTCAACCATTTACAAGGGAACATACGGATTCTCCATTTTAATGAATCGGAGATGACAGTTGTTCATGCTTGAGACTTACAAAAAAAAATTGAAAATAATAATAATAATAATTCTGGGTTTTTTCCTCCAGATTTAGGCCTTCAAAAGTAGCTTAACAGATAAGAAAACTTGATACTAGGTTTAAAAACAAGTTAAAACCATCATCACTAAAAACCACTAGTTAAAAAAGTACATTTACACTATTTTTCATTATTAGCCAAATAGTCATAACATTAGTTGAGTAAGAAATACTGACATTGCCTCCTTTTCAATAAAGGTTTAAACTAAATTTCTAATACCAGCAAAACAAAAAGGTCTTACAGAACTTATGAATATGTGAAGACCATTACAGGAGCCGACACCTAAAGCTTCATTACAGTAAATTTTAAGTTTGCTACACTTCAATGATTACACTGACATTTTATACTTCCATTTATATTTATATTTATATTTATATTTTCATGTTAATTCTTGAATTGCTTGTTGTGGTCTAAGTTCAGAAAAGGTTCAATTTCCAACTGCCGGAAAAGTTAGGTTTGGACCAAAAGGCAGATCTTAGGCCAGGGTTGAACCATGCTCTTAAGGTATGTTGAAAAGCATGCCAGCAATAATCAAGCTGCATGACAGTATGTATGATGGATATCGACTTTTCGATGCTTACAAATGCGAGCACGTAAACCTTAATCATCTGTTAGGCTAATTACAACTAAGATAGACATAACAATGTATCACTCGACTGAAGTGCTCGTTCAGCATGCTTCAATGACTAAACCCGAGATCATAATGGACTTTTTAATTGCAATTAAGGCAGTAATAACTTAAATCATCAAGTAATGTACATTTGTACTAGACTACAATAGATTAAGGCAGTAATAACTTAAATCAAAGTTTGCAAAATTACCAAGCAGAGACACAATAATTATGAATCATGTAAGAATAGCCAAATTTTGCAAATTAAGCTTACTCAGCACACTCATTAATCTTCCCCGAATTCGAAGCCTTAAACCAAGAAAAGATTGAACATAAATAGAAGAAATCTTACCATAGGTGGAATTGACTTCAAAAATTCAACAATGTCGAGCCGAAATCGAACTTCAATTGTTGTTGCTGTAATTTGCTTGAACTTCCTCGGGTTTTTTGGGGCAAAATTAAGCGATTTTTCCACTCGAAAATTTCAGTTATTGCTCGAATTTTTGTTGCTGTAATTTCTTGACTTGAACCCAGAAAAAGACGTAATTCAAACAATTATTGTTGCTGTAATTTCTTGACTTAACCTATTGTTGCTGTAATTTCTTGACTGAAACTCGAACAAAAATTATTTATGACTGAAATGGGACAAATTTCTTAGGGTATATTGCGTCGCTGCCAAAAACCCTAGAAATCCCCCCACGAAATCCCCCAATCGAACTTGAAGACCGAAATTGAATTTTTTGGGGCTTTTAGGGTTCGAATTTGTATGCTTTTGAGTTGATTTTTTGCTCGAAATGGGGGATTTTTGGTCGGAAACAATCAATTTTTCTGGGTTTAAGGCTTCGAATTTCTTAGGGTTTTTGGTCTAAAATTTTGCTCGAAATTGCTCGAATTCGCAGCCGATTATGGGTCTTCGACTTCACTGCGATTTCAGATGTTAAATTTGCTGGGGAAACGCAAGTTTTTGGCCGAATTTGTTGGATTTCAGAGACAAATTTGTGGGTATTTTGCTGTAGAAATTCGCTGGAATTTAAGAACTCTTGTTTTTTTTTTCTTTTTGTATAGTGAATGTAGGTACCTGATGAAAAACTAAGGTAAAAAACACAGAAAAACCTAAAGACAAAAGAGTTATTTGCGTCACTTTATTATAAAAAAGCGACGCAAATAACCTTGTTTATAATGTTGTACAATGTACATATGCGTCGCTCATTAGTAAAAGAGTGACGCAATTTACTTAATCACTTATTTGCGTCGCTTGCTAACTAATGAGTGACGCAAATAAGTTTATTAATTGCGCCGCTTTAATAAATAGGAGCGACGCAAAGGATAGAAAGTTGAAATGCACTTGAGTTTTGCGTCGCTTCTTAAATATTATGCGACGCAAATAATTTAAAAGGAAGGTAAAATAAAACATTTGCTTCGCTCCTTAGAATGAGTGACGCAAATATGGCGACGCAAATGTACATTTTTCTACTAGTGTTATTAGGGAAAGGAAAAAATGAAAAAGAAATAGAAAAAAGAGGTCACGAAATCTTGTCGTTGAAGCTCGCCTCTTGTCTTGTGTTGTTCCCTTTATCATCACTCGCTCTTCTTGTTAACTGGAGGCATGGGAAGCTTGTTGTTATCAATCAAATATTGGATAGCCTCCTTTAGCTTCCAACAGCTCTCAGTAGTATGACCCCTGCCTTGGTGGCACTTGTAATGTTCGTTTGGATTCCAACTAGGAAATCTTTTCTTAAGTGGAGGATCTTGAATAGGTCCAATGGGAGTAATGATTCCCTTAGCATGGAGTCGGTCGAAAGCCTCATCATAGTTAATTCCAATAGGGGTAAATTCCCTTTTCGGTTGCTTTCGATTACCCATGGCTAGGATCTCACTAAGGTCGAAAGTACCAACACTGTTGCTAGAGTAGGTTTTTCGGAAGAAGAAGGATAGTCGTTCTTCTTCCCTTTACAGCCACTGATACTATTGTTACTAATCTTGGCCTTCTTGTCGCGCGGAGGAACATGAAGGAGATTTGAATCAATAAGATCTTGAACACGATCTTTGAGGGCGAGACATACTTCAGTGGTGTGACCACGACCTCTATGGTATCGACAATAAAAATTTGGATCCCAATTGGGAAACCATTTTTCAGGCGGGGGGTCTTGACTGGGACCAATGGGGTGGATAAGACCTTGATCGTGAAGACAGTCAAAAGCTTCATTGTAAGTCATTCCTATTAGTGTGTACTCTTCAATGGTCTGTTTTGCCTGTGGCTTAGGAGCATTGAGTTCTTCATTAAACTCTTGGCGAGAATTTTGTTCGATGGTCATTAACCGATTTGCTAATCCCTCTACCACATTTAAGAGCATGGCAACGACATCTTGCAGTTTTCGAACGTCCTCTTTTAGACTTGACGAGTCTTCCATTGTATTAATTATCTTAGAAAAGACTTTGATCCTCCTCAATTATGGCCACTTCATCGAGAAAGGTCATATAAGCTATCTCGATCATGGGCTCTCCTACAGGTGTGATAAGAAGTGATGGATCGAAGGGTGCTTGGTCATCTTCGATGGCTAGAATCTCGAAAGTTTCATTGTTATCGATCAGATCTTGAATAGCTTCTTTGAGTTTCCAACACTCCTCGATGTCTTGACCCTTTCCTTGGTGATATTTGCAGTTCTTATTAGGGTCCCACTTAGGTGGCCTGGCTTCTGGAACTGGATCTTTGATGGGCCCTATGGGCATGACTAGTCCTTGGTGATGTAGCTTCTCGAAAGCTGTTTCATAACTCATGCCAAGTGGAGTGAACATCCTTTTTGATCTTTGGATTTGTGGTTTAGAGGTGTTCGTGGCATGTACCTCATTAATGGGAGAGGAAGAAGAAGGATGGTCGCTCTTCTTTCCTCTCGCACCATTATCTTCAGAAGGTCATCTTCAATGTCAATGCCTATGTTATACACAGCCTTGAAAGTATTTAAATTGTGTTGGTACTTTAAGTGCCTTGAATACTTCCCTTGGAGATTCTTGATAAACATCCTCACAGATTCTTTTTCGGTAGGAGCCTTGACCATATTAGCGGAAGTTTCTCTCCATTTATTGAAGAAAGACGTGAACCCTTCGTTTTCTTTTTGTTTTAACATCTCAAGTTGTCTGTGGTCTGTTTCGTCTTAGATGTTGCACTTATATCTATCAATGAAAGCGTTTGTGATCGACTCCCAAGAAGAGGTTTTTTCTTTCTCGAGAGAAAATAACCATTGTTGACAAACGGTTTCGAGAGATAGTGGGAACAGAGAGGGGAAAACCTTCTTATCGATACCCTTAATGCTCATTATAGTTTCAAAAGCTCTTAGATGGAAGTAAGGGTTATCTATTGCCTTGAATTTAGGGATGTCAGTGGCGTTGAACTTATGCGGAAGAAGTTCCTTGTCCAGAGAGACCCCTTGTGAACTCATGACCTGAAATTTATAGTCACTAGATAGCTTGCTTAGACTCTCTTGCATGAGGTCCATCTGTTGTTGCTTCACGGGATCATTGATCTTGAGTGTGAGAAGCTTCAATGTCTCAGTTACGGTAACCAATTGGTTCCTAAGCTCGTTAACTTCTTCTTGACTTGCCAT